CCTATCTGAGAGAGAACGGAGACATGGCTTAAAGAAATCGTACAAGTAGAGGCGAAGGTAAAAGAGGCGAGAAATAAATAAATAAACCCATAAAGAGCGTCTAAAAAAGCGGCGGGGCACATCTGCGTGACCCCACGGAGTCATTGGATTTGGCCCATTTTCAATTGGCTTGTTACATGTGGCATATAGGTCAACTGTGCAAACTTTGAACCAAATCGGTCCAAGCGTTTGATAGTTATCGTGTTCACGGACAGACGGACACCATCGACTCCCCTATAAAGCTCGCATCACTTTGCTCTGCCGCTTAATAAGGTAGTAATCGAGGAACTAACGTTGGAAAACAAGAGGGAGGAGAAAGGGAAAATTAAACGGGGGCGGGGTATACATAGATGGGGAGTTGACATATGAAGAAAGAAGGGTACAAATAAGGGTTGCGGGAAGGAAAAGAGGAAAGGGGCAAGGGGATATGAGAAACTAATGGTAGAAGATGAAGAATGCAGATGGAGTACCAAAAAAAGGATTAGTGAGAACAGAGAGGAACGGGCGGAGTTTGGAGAGAGAAACTAACCGAAAAAGAAACGATAGAGGGGAAGGGGGTACAGATACAAACAACAGAAGAAAAGAGAAAAGCGAAATAAAGGTGGAGAAGAGCATGATATTATGGAATGTAGGGGGGGGGGGAGCTGGTAAAGACTCTCAAGCCTGAGAGGATATGATGTCGTGGGGATGGTAGGATCATGGATAGCCGAAAAGAATCCGGAGAAAATACAAAACCGGATTCCGGATGAATATATACGGAAGAAGTGGCGAAGAACCAATTTGCGAGGAGAGACAATATAAAAGGACAAGCAAAAGGAGGTATATTAACAAAGGTAATCGAAGGGGATAAAGGAATAGACGAATGAAACAAAAGAAGAAGAAGAAATACAGGTCAGATTAGTTGAAGTTGAGGGAAAGAAAATGAGAGTGATATCCGGATACAACAGAGAAGGAATGAAGAATTTAACAAATAAAGTAGAAAATATGGTAGTATGGTCTAAAACGGACGATAAGATCAAGAGCAGAGAAGGATACAGTTATGGACAAGAGGCATGGTGTAGCTGTACAGGGTGTTTTTTTGGGAGCTTTAGTTAAACGTTTCTGGGAAAGTAAAATACGTAGGTTTTTGAAAATTTGTACTTAGGAGTTACTCTGAAGGCCGAATCTATGTAAAATATTTTCAAAAAGTCCGCACTTCCGGAAACACCGGAAGTAGATAGTAATTCCGTTATTTTAAACGGCAACCCCTATTTTTGATTGCATTTTTGGATTCTACGTGAAATTTCAGTTCTTTTGATACCCATATGTCGATATCTGCCATTTATGGTTTTTAAGTTATTTTGACTTTAAGAAAAAAAATGGCGGATGCAGACGGTACTTTGATAATTGATTACTTGAACAAGGTTATAGTCATGGCAACCCATTTTTATCAGTGCATAGAGAATGAATAGGGCTTTCTTTTAGTGTACTTAAAAAAAAGTTAAGTTGCGTACAACCGCACCTATGGAGATCCAAATTTAAGAAACTGCAAAGTCTATAAACTCAGTTTTTTTTAAATGGAATGACCATGTTCTTAATATTGCATGAGATAGAGAATCGAAATTGACATATTTTGATATTACATGTTCCTATAGCTATCTTTAACAGTTTCTGATTTATTCCCTTTTCATTGAATTGATCTCGGAATTGATGCCATTTTTTTCGCATTTTCTTTTTAGTAGTTGGCCATGATTTTGTAACAATCGAATTTTGAACAAATCAAGGACTAGATTCTTTAATACCATTGATTCTAGTTCTTATCTAAATAATTCATTAATAAATAACTCATTTATTAAGGATATAGGACGGAAAATTTTTGAAAAATCTAAACAGAGTCGTTCAACTGAATTTCTTAAACAACTTATAAGAATGCGATATCTGTTCTAGCAACAATTCCATATCAAAAATGTTTCAACGAAGTTTTTTATATGTTGCATTGAATTTATTTTGTTAATCTTGCATTTGCAATTCAATTCATTTTCTTAAATATTCTCTTGTAGAGCTTTGTATCACTTGTGCTTCAACGGTTTGTAGTGCATTAGGGGTACAAAATTTCCAAAATTCATACAATTTCGTTCCAGTTTTCGAATGAATGTACGGAAAGCACGCGCCGCGATTCTGCCCATTTCACCATAAATAACAATTAAATTCCAAAATAGGTGAAACCACTGCGAGTCATTTTTCGATTTTTGAAAAACTTGTTAACCTATAACAGTGGGTGATGGATTAGTGTCACTAGATTTGTTTAAAATTCAATTGTTATAGAATCATGGCCGACTACTAAAAAGAAAATCCGAAAAAATAGTGTCAATTCAATAAAATGGGAATAAGTCAGAAACTGTTAAAGATAGCTATAGGAACATGTATTGTCAAAATATGCCCATTTCGATTCTCTATCTCATGGAATAGCAAGAATATGCTCATTCCATTTAAAGAAACTGAGTTTTTAGTCTTTGAAGTTTCATAAATTTGGATAGGTATCCATAGAGGCGGTCGTACGCAACTTAACTTTTTTTAAGTGCACTTAAAGAAAGCCATATGCATTCTCTATTCACTGATAAAAATAGATTGCCATGACTACAACCGTTTTCAAGTAATCAATTACCAAGGTACGATCTGCATCCGCCATTTTTTTTTAAAGACAAAATAACTTAAAAACCATAAATGGTACAGATACCTATGGACATATGGGTATCAAAAGAAGTGAAATTTCACGTAGAATCCAAAAATGCAATAAAAAATAGGGGTTGCCATTTAAAATAACGAAGTTACTATCTACTTCCGGTGTTTCCGGAAGTGCGGCCATTTTGAAAATATTTTACATCGATTCGGCCTTCAGAGTAACTCCTAAGTACAAATTTTCAAAAACCTACCTATTTTACTTTCCCAGAAACTTTTAACTAAAGCTCCCAAAAAAACACCCTGTATAGAGAGAGCGAGATTAGAGGAACATAGAAAAGAAATAGGCGGGAATATAGAGGAGTGAAATAATATAAGTATTCAAAGCAATAACATGGAAACAATTAACGGAAAAGGAGGGGAGAACGGAGTCGTGGGACAAAGAGTGTACAAAACAGAGAAATAGGTATAGAGGAAGAACAAATATCAGAAAAGGGAGGGCAACGATCGACTGCATGTACATATTTCACAAATTGATGAAAAAGGAATTGGAAAATAAGGGCGGAAAGGTGTTTTTCATAGACTTAAAGGCAACGTTTGACCGAATGGACAGGGAAAAGGTAGGGAAGATGGTGGAAGATAGCAAAATTGATAAAAAGGACTAAATCAAGGAACCACACGGAGAGACAAGATTGAGGGTAAGATTAGAAGGCATGGAGTTTGAAGCGTTTTGATCATGCAAAGGATTAAGACACGGAAAAAATATTAAGACAGGGCATGGCCAAGGTGGAGGGATAGTAGTGGGATGAAGAAGATATGGTACCTGGCATTCGCGGAGGACGCGGTGATTATGGCAACAGGGGTAGAACAGATGAAGGAAATGATGGGGGTATTGGGCAACGAAAAGAATGTAGCTAAATATAGAAAAGGGAAAGGGAGATACAACGGAAATGGAGAGCGGAAAGAATAGAAGAGGTACCATATGCAATGGGGCAAATGCGCAGATAAGAGAATTAAGGGAATAGGGGTTGGTGGCGATGAGGTAGGAGGTGGGAATTGGAGAGAGGAGATTCAAGAATGTTTTCAGAACAACAACGTACATGTTCGATGCAATGGTGAGAGGGGTGCTCATGTACGCAAGGAAGATGTGGGGGTAGAAGGAATGGGAGGAACTGAAAGAAGTACAAAGAAGATATTATAACTCGGTAGATATTTTTTTATTTTTTTTTGTCCTTACTTAAGGTATTTATTTATTTATTTACGGTTGTTCATTATAACAAAGAGAAAAAAAACACATTAATACATATAAGAAAAATGAAACGTGGAGAGCAGTGCGTAAGTGAGTCAAACAACTATGAGATATATAACTTAAATAGATATAAAAGATAGAAATAATATATGAAAAAAGAATATTGAAAAACTAAATAAAAACTAAATAACTACATAAAACTAACGCAAACGATATACACGGTGGAAATGTAAAACTAACTATTGTTACTCCAAGACATATCTATTTTCTATAAATAATAATTTTTTAAATAAAGATATAGTAGGTAAACCAAAAAAACTGAATTAGGGTTAAATAGAAAGACTATATTAGAGGAGGAAACAAAAATTGAAAATATAAGCTGGGCGGTAAAATTCTGAGAAAACATAGGAGGGCGCCACGATCTCTTTCTTTAAACTGTGTAAACCATAAAACGGTGCTAAAATCAAAGCGTAAACAATATTTTTTATTAAGAGTTAGTATCGACAGTTGATGAAGAAGATTAAATCGAGAAATAAACAAACGAATAAGCTTGATGGCAAACATTTTTTGATTCTCCTACAGATGGCGTTCCACTAACTGTTGATCTCGAGACTAAGGGAGACGGTTGGAGTGGTGTAAGCGTCGAGAAAAGACGAATACATTGATGTGGTGTGGAAAACCAACTTGGGCAGAATTATCAAAGGAATGGAGCCACGCGGAAGAGGTGGTGAAAAATGTGTATTCGAAGTGTTATTTAAAATGCTTATTTTCTATTTTGAATTTTAAATAACTTCGTTTCAATAGAAGATTCGGGAGAGGGAACCCAAACTCAAACTGGTCCAAATGGACGTCCTGTTCGTTGGCAATTGGTGCTGTTCGACTTTACTATATGACCTGAACTTGGAGACAAATTGCTCTTATGGATTCTATTTCACTAAAAAGCTGTAAAGCCGATTCAAAACTTAGCGACCAACTCCCACTGTGTCGGTTCGTAATCTCATTAATAGATACGTAATCAGTACCCTTGAATGGAGAAATCGAAGTTCAAGGGACATAGTGCAGTTTTTCAGTCTGATAATGAAAGTGCTGTACATAGTGTCTTTTCTCCCCTTGCTTAACGTGTGCGGTAGTGCTCGGATATTGGCAGTTATACCAGTACCCTCCTTCAGTCATCAAGTAGTCTTTCACCCCTTATGGAAGGAGCTGTCCTTACGTGGGCACCACGTAACGGTGCTCACAACAAATCCAATCAACGACCCGCTCCTTACAAATTTAACCGAAATCGATTTGAGTTTCTCCTACAAGTTCCTGGAAGAAGAACTCGGTAAAATTATTACTTCAAGTCAGAACCCCATAAAATCGCTTCGTGCGTCGATGGACGCGTTTATTAACGTTGTCGACGCACAACTACGCAGTCCAGAGGTGCAAAAACTTATTCAGGACCCGTTTGAACACTTCGACCTTCTAATCGTTGAGTACTTTCTCGCTGCTCCAGTTTACTTTGCGAGAAAGTTTAAGTGCCCACACATTGGGATACTCTCCGTAGACGCTCCCAATACGATCCAAAAAGCAATTGGTGGTGTAGGTCACCCCATTCTTTATCCACATCAGTTTGCACAACTGTACGGACCCACCAACCTCTTCCAGCGTGTGTACTTGGTCGGATTGGAATTGCTCTATACATTTGGTGTCCATTATTTTGAATCGCAAGAGAATGTTGGAAAAAAATACTTCGAAGATGACACTCCCGTTAGAGCAATCTTTCAGAACGCCAGTCTATTGTTCGTGAACTCAGATCCGATCTTCAGCTATGTGAGACCTCTACTTCCGTCTATTATTCCAATTGGTGGCAACGTGGCTAGACTCCCGGTTAAACCTTTAGAACAAGTGAGTCCCCACTGCACGCGAGCATAATCATATGGAGGCTTACAGAACGTCAAGAGGTACCTGGATGAAGCACGTCAAGGTTTTATCTACTTCAGTTTGGGGTCAAACGTTAAAGGTAAGGATATTCCGGCCGACACCATGAACGTCATACTTGCAACCTTCCTGGAAATTCCCTACAAGATACTCTGGAAGTACGAGCTTAGCGATTTACCGAGCAAGCCCGATAATGTAATGATCTCAAAGTGGGTTTCTCAGATGGAAGTTTTGAGTAAGAAGTTCGCGCGGTACTCGCCACATTTTTTAACTGAGTTATCAGGGCATCCCAATTTGAAGCTCTTTATAACGCACGGCGGAGCGCAGTCCATGGAGGAGACGATTTCGGCCAGAGTTCCCGTCGTCGGGATGCCTTTCTTCGCCGACCAACCCTTTAATGTTAAGAAGATGGTCTCTATGGGTTTCGCGTTGTCGGTGGATTACAGGTCGATGTCGAAAGAGCAATTTAGGGCCGCGATTTTGGAAGTAATCAATAACCAAAGGTATGGCCTTGTTGAATTCTCGATAGATTCGACTCGCGTGGTTTTAGGTATCGAAATCGCATCACGGAGTTAGCCGATTTGGTCGAGGATCAGCCGATGACCGGTTTGGAACGGGCCGTGTGGTGGACTGAGTATGTGATTCGTCACAAGGGTGCCACACACTTTAGGAGTCCGGCTCTCGATATGCCTTTGTACCAGTATTACTTCTGGGATGTCATCGCCGTCTTAGTTTTTATTATTACAGTACTTTTGTGTATAATCGTGGTCGTTTCAAAAATTTGTCTGCGATTTTTAAACAAAGCATTTTTCCGAGTTAAAGTGAAGAAGGGTTAGTGGAAGTGGCCTTTCGGATCCTTTGGAACCATTATAGTTTTACTAACACAATGCGGTATATGAAAGTGTTAATAATTTTGTAAGTGAATTCTTCACTGTTTTTGAAATGCATGAATAAATGGCTAACGACCGCTGCGTCTACGAACCCTATGACTTGGAGTGTCGTATATCGCCCTCAATGACCGAAGGGGTGATGTTGTTGTGTCGCAACTCCTTGTTGTACATACATCTGTAACACAGCATTTCTTTCTTTCTCTCTTGTCTTTCTTGTCTGTCTTGTCTCTCTTGTCTCTCCATGTCCCTATTTGCCTGTCTTTGCCTGTCTTTTGTCTATCGTTTTCCTCTCTTTTGCCTTTCTTTTGCCTCTCTTTTGCCTCTCTTTGCCTCTCTTTGTCTCTCTTTGTCTTTCTTGTCTTCCTTTCTTTGGTTCTTTCTTTTTACTCTTGGCAATTTGGAGATCTTGAGCTCGGCCGATCAGTCTCAGCCATCTGCTAGGGCTAAAGGTGACTTGCCCAAGCGCAAATGGTTTTTTCCATGCCAATCAGTGCTGTAGGGGTGGGTGGGGGAGGGAAACTCCGAAGGGTGTATAATATCATTTTCTTTTTCTTTTCCCGCTTTATGAAGATAAGAAGATCAAAAAAGGGAAAGAGACAAAAAAGAAGGGAGATACTGCTATGGACAGCAGACAATACGGAGTTGTGCGTGGAATGAAACTAGAGGAAGAAAAAAAGAAATAGGAGGGTGGATAGTTAGAGGAGGAGTGGAATAACATATAGGAGAGTATTAAAAAAAGCTATAACATGGAAACAAGTAAGAGATGTAGGGCAAAGAGAGAAACAGATACAGAAAAATAATAGAGAACGAAAGAAGTGGAGAAATAGAAGAGAAAGAGTTGAGAGAACAGGAAATGTAAAGAACAAAAGATAGTAATAAGTATAGAATGAATACAAAGAGCAAATCAGGGAAATAAAAACAGAGGTCTTTGAAAGGTTATAAACAGAGGAAAATGAGATTAATTAATTAATTAAAATGATTAAATTGTATCTTATATTTTGACGTATTTCCGGTATTTGTCGATGACGCGAAAGATTGTTTGGAAAAGGACGCCACACTTTTAGGTAGGTCTTGGAAAATTAAACAAATGAAACACGACGCATTATAAAATAATAACAGCCATAATTTGTAAATTATTCTGCTGTGTTTACATTCAGAAAGTGCAGTTTTTTGAATTTGCACACTTTTCTAAAATGCCGATTTCTAACCCAGAAGCATTTAATATGCTGGCGGCGATGGTTCGTGGTCGATTCGGATAACGCAAATAGAAGATGCGGGTCGCATGTTGAAAATACTCAAAATATAGCGCCAGCATATTAAATTATGCTTTTTGGTTAGAAATCGGCATATTAAAAAAGATTACAAATTCAAAAAACTGCACTTTCTGAATGTAAACACAGCAGAATAATTTACAAATTACGGCTGTTATTATTTTATAATGCATCGTATTTCATTTGTTTAATTTTCCAAGGCTTACCTAAAAGTGTGGGGTGATTTTCTTTCGCGCCATCGACAAATAGGTACCGGAAATATGTAAAAAGTAAATTTAAGATACAATTTAAGCATTTTTATTAATTAATTAATTAATCTCATTTTCCCAATATTTGAGGTTAGGAATTTGAAAAACGGTTTTCACTGACCTCTTTGGATGTTATTTGGCTACTTTTTCATAAGGAAAAAGTCATATCATTCCATTTGATTTTTTTGATTTTTTTAAGATTTTGGGTCATAGTGTCAAAACTGTCCCTCTGGCGAGAAAGGATTCGACTAAATTAACTATATTTTGGTTGATTCTCATTGCCCAAGGGATTCTCTTTTCAACCATACACAATTTGTTAAAATCGGTCAAACCGTTAAGAAGTTAAGGAAGGTTATTGCAAAAACAATTGAACGCCGCACGCCATCTTTGTTTTTGAAATAACTGAGTTCTTGTTTTTACGAAAATGATAGATAAACTGCTCCTCTTTAAAAATGTGAAAAAAAAATGCGAAATTTAAAGAAAATGCAATTTTAAAATTTAAGATGGCAGTTACGCCCTCTGTTGGTCATTTTTAGAACTTGAAAATATTTTACAGCGATTCTTCATGATCGATTTACCCAAAAATTTTTTACCCCTAAGTCATACGACGACCGGTTCTCGAGATAGGGCCGAGGAACAGTCTTATTGGGTCACCCGGTACTACAAGGAGAGCAGGAGATGATGTTATGGATGAGGTAGGAAGAAATAAAATTGAAGAAGAGAGATAACAAGAGGAGATGGAACAGCAATTGGGTGATGAGGCTTGGATTTTCACCACATATAGGGTTAATGAATGTATTATAAGGCGAGTATACAAGGTTTGGAAATGAGGGGGTTTCCGTGAAGAATGGAAGGAAGAGGTAAATAAGCTAATATTCAAAAGGGGATGGCTACGACGACGTATAGAATCTATGTAATGATACTGAACGAAAGACTAGAAAGAGAAATGGACGAAAGGAGGTTGGAGGAAACGCAAATGGACTTGAGAAAAGAGGAGGGGGGGGGGGCGATAGACTGCATTACACAGATTGGTAGAAAATGAATTGGGAAAAAAAGGGCGGAAACGTGTTCGCGTTTTTCATGGTCTTAAAGACAGCGTTTGACGGAGTGGAAAGGAAAGAAGTGAAGATGATGGACAAAATCAAAGAACTGTTATAGAGAGACAAGAATGAGGGTAAGAATAGAAGGAAAGGAGAGAAGAAGATGGTAGGGAAAACACAAATGGGATTCAGAGAAGGGAAGGGAACGGTCTACTGTACTCGTATAGCTATTATACTACACAGATTGGTGGAAGAAGAATTAGAAAAAAAAGGCATAAAGGTGATCGCGTTTTTCATGAAAAGACAAGACGTTAAAGGGAAAAATCAAGGAATTATATGGAAAGACTAGATTACGGGTAAGAATAGAAGGGAAGGAGCGTCTTGGACATGTAAAAGACCAAGACAGGGATGCCCATAGTAAGAATAANAGGGCCGAATGCACAAAAGTTAATCAAAGCTTAACGGCGCTGTTAACTCATTTGTTTCGATTAAAAAATGACATTTGCTTTGATTAAATTAGTTAATTTAACGGAACTGTTAAACATCGATTAAGCTAAAATTCCTATGCACAAAAAAGAATTAGCATTAACGACGCCGTCAAGTCGGCTTTAATCACGGCAAAATTTAACCGGTGCTCATTGACTGATTAAACTGACAGTTCGTTGATAATGTTCAATTTGATCTTGTGGAACGTATTTTTATAGAATAATTTGACCTATTCTAATAGTTATTCGAGATGTTCCTTATTGTTAATTAGTGTTAAAGTTCTCAGTTTGTGTTCAGTTCATTTTTTAATAGGTACTTACTTTTTCATAAATAAATTTGGAAATAATATGTAAGTGAAAAATTACTTTTTACTTATAAATAACATAATTCCTTACTGTTTATTTAGCCATTTTCATGTTGGACATTTCACTCTCCTCTTTTTCTTCGTCCTCCGATGAAGAGGAAGCCCCCGCCAGGAGAATAAGATTTATAAGGGATAGAAACAATCCTTTTCAAATATACGATGATATCGATTTCAAAATGAGGTACAGGTTTTCGAAGCCAATAGTACAAAATTTGCTTCATATGTTTGGACATTTAATAGAACCGAAAACCAAGAGGAACAAAAGTATTGATGGCCTAACCCAGCTTCTAATAACTCTTCGGTTCTATGCAACTGGAACATATCAAAGAGTTATTGGAGATCATATCAACGTAAATCAGAGTACTGCCTGTCGTGTGATAAATAGAGTCACCAGACATCTTGCTCGTCAAAGGCCAAATTTTATAAACATGCCCAAGAACCAAGACGACATTTTACAAGTCTGTAGAGGCTTTTACAGAATCAGAGGGTTTCCTAAAGTGATTGGAGCTATAGATTGCACACACATCAAGATACAGTCTCCTGGTGGAAATAATGCTGAGCTATATAGAAATAGAAAAGGCTTCTTTTCTATTAATGTGCAAGCCATATGTGATGCCACATTAAAAATCAGGCACATAATAAGTAGATGGCCAGGATCTGTTCATGACAGTACTATTTTCAATGATAGTCCATTAATCCCGGAATTTGAAGCTGACCAATACGGAGCAGGAACTTATTTATTGGGGGACTCTGGATATGCTTGTAAGAAATATCTCTTAACCCCTTTCTTGAATCCCCGAACGCCCGCAGAAGAACGATACAACAGGTCACATGTGGCAACAAGGAATACGATCGAAAGAACATTCGGTGTGTTAAAAAGAAGGTTTCCTTGTCTCTTTTTAGGCTTGAGAAATACTGTTCACGTATGTTTGATGATAATAGTTGCATGCGCGGTCTTACACAATATTGCCATTGATTCAAATGACCATTTAAACGAATTTTTTGAAGATCAAGGCAGAGCTGAAGACATACCGATCGCAGAAGGTTACCGGAATGAAAATACATCCATTAGAACTGCTCTAGTTAATACTACTTTCAGTTAATAAATTTGTTCTGTCCGTTTATTTGTTCATTTACTTCCTTAAAAAAGGAACACAGAAGTTAAACAGCTGAATCCAGCACCTAACTGCGAAGTCATCTTAAACTTCAGCGAAATACTTTTTTGCTGATTTTCGACTTCGTCAGGTATATAGGTACTGACATTAATAGGAGGCAATCCCAAAAGAGCTTGCAGAAAAATAACATTTTATTATGTGGTTTTGTTTATGAATATTTCAATTCTTTCGTTTAACTATGCACCTTTTCTTTTGTAATTCTTAAAGTGTTTCGACCCTGCATTCTCAGCAAGTGTGTTTCTTCAAAGACTTTATTTAACTATGAGTAGGTACCTAAGTACATTTTTAGTAACGACGATGCCATCAGACAGATCAGAGTTATTATATTTACGGGGATTAGCATGACCATGACCAACCAATGTATAAAAATACAGTCAATATTATCAACACCATTTTATTTGAATAGAAAATATGTTCATTTACTTAATTGATTCATGAAAATGCGTTTTTTAAAATTTTTCTCCATTAGGAGAGTGCTGTATTCCAGCCTAGCATTCTTCAACTTTTGAAGGTAGTAATTTTTTTTAATTTGTTGAATGGACATCTTAGTTTTAGGTCGCCGTTTTGCAGCAATTATTCCACCTTTTGGCGCAGGTTGGCGATCAGCTATGGAAGAAAAGGAACAGGATGGTATACTTTGGTCCACCACTTCAGGGATGATTGCTGGGGGAGAAGGTTCTAATAGCAATATTGCCTCGTCATCTTTAAAACAATGTTTTTATTAAGTAAATGCAAACTTTGATTTGTACCGTGATAAGAGCTGGCACTATCAAATGGATTTGGTAAAGGCTTTACCGTATCACCCATTATCGATAGCACCAGACTCATTGAGTCGTTGGTGGTGCTTTCGCAGCTTCCTCCTCCAGTTTTCTTTCTTCCTTCCTTGGAAATAAGAATAAAACAGACAATTAAAAATGACGGAATCCTTTCATGATTAAATTACCTTTTCACATTTTGCGGCATATAAAGCTTCTTCTGGAAGCTTTTCTATATCGTCTTGTGACATTTCTCCATCGAAAGCTTTTTTTAATTGCTCTCGGTACCTTTCTTTCTAGAATCGTACCGATAATAGCTATGTTTATAAACACAAACGACGTATATTACTTACATTACTCGATGCCTCCGCTTTTCTCGCATTCCGCTTTATGTTATCATAAAAATGCTTTAATTGCTTGGTGGTTCTTTTGCTGATACATTCGGAGTTAAAATCTTCTGTAACGCACTTCCAAGCTTGCTGTTTCTGCAGAAGGATCTGGGCGCTCGTCACTCTCGATTCTAGTATATGTTTCTTACTAAATTGGAAAAACATGAGTATTCGGAGAAACTTTATCATTGTAATTATTGTGGCAGCTAAAATGATACCTATAACAACTCAAAATTCAACCGGAACTTTTATCGAATTCAGGACAATCACTAAGTTACTACGAGTATAATAACAATGTAAATTTGCTTACGATTCAATTATTTGGAGTAAATGTTCTCTTTCCACTTCGGTAAAGTTTTTTCCCCGTATCTTCTTTTCCATTATTAACCCAATAATATAAATTGATTATTAGATGACAGATAACAAAAAAGAAAAGCGTTCCACTAAAGTAGGCTTTGTAAAAAAAATCACACATTTCCATAAAAGTACAACGTTGCCGGCGCCAATTCTTACTAAATATTTAATCAATGCTTAATCACCTTGGTTAGTTAATCAAGGAGTGTTTTTGTTTTGTGCATACCAATCTAATTTAATCAAAGGTTTAATTTAATCATACCGATTAACTAACGGCCTGATTATTTATTGTTTGTGCATTCGGCCCTTAGTCATATAATACGCAATGCCAAAAGTTGAGTCGAATCGATTCAAAATTGACAGTGCCCTTTTCGCTTCTCGACCATTTATAAACCGAATTGCAAACGTTTTTATTTATAAAAGTATTTAAATGAAATTTCATACATAGGCATCTGGAACAAAAGAAAATCTAACGTTAGTTTCAAAATTTAGGTTTGCGCATGCGCAGTTCCAACTTTCTTATTTAGAAAAGCATTGAAATGAAATTCTTCTTATAAACAGAAAATGAAGTAGCACATCAAAAATGGATTGCACATGTGCAACGCTATCTTTCATATTTGTGGCGGGATTTTTACGATTTTAACAGAAACTGCATCTTACAAATGGGAAATGAATGCAAGTGTACCTACATGCGCTTTTTGTAAATCGTTTACGATTACTTTTTTAACTTGTTGCATTGCAGGGGTCTCAAAGTGAAGACGGAAATCTTTACGGGCGGTACAGACAGTCGCTATTTGAGACAGGTTGGAATTCCGGCCTTGGGATTTTCGCCAATGAATAACACTCCAATTTTGCTACACGATCACAATGAGTACCTCAACCAAAATGTTTTCCTTCGCGGTATCGAGATCTACTGTCAGATTATACAGGCCGTTTCGAACGTTCCAGATATTACGGGATGAGCTGTTTAATGTATAAGTAAATGTAATGCTCCCTATAAAGAATTAAAAAACCCATTGTCTCCTTGAAGGCTAAGATTCGTGTATAGGTAAATGATTTACAAATACCACGAAGAAAGTAGGCCTGGCGCTGAACGCTCAATTTAATTTTGACTATCTACGTTAATACTAGATTTTTCCTACAAAATGTATCCACGGCTAGCTCAACAAATTGCCAACAAGTTGCGACTTGGATTGTGTGAGACGTAGCCAGAGCCGGATCTACATATTTTGTGCCTATGCCCCCCCCCCCCCAATCAATTACAATCATTTTGACCCCCAACCAAAATTATCTTTTACTCTTTACACTTTTACAGAAAAGTGTTAATACGATTTTCTTTCTCCTAATTTGCTCAGATTAATTTAATTAATAGTAAAAACATTTTTGATATTAATTATGAATTCAGAAGTGGTTTTCCAAAAGAATAAAAGACTAATTTCAAGCAAGTATTTCGGGTGGAATATAATGGTAGTGAATCACTATTTTAAATAGTTCTACATTTTCGCAAAAATCGCCGTTTTTTATTAGGTTGGATGTATGATTGAAAAAGTGTAGTGTGTGTTTGATCGTTGGTAACCGCCGTTTGCCGCCGTGGGCGTAGAGGGGCGGGTCTACAGGAGAGCTCTAGCTATTGGTGTACAAAAAATGCGAGTCATTTTCGTTGTGAGAAGGGCGAGTCCGAGCTATGCCGAGCGAGCCAAATAGTATGCACTTCGCATTTTGTAACCGGAGTCGTTAATCAACCACGAAATTCGGGTGGTCGGTTGATTTGAAAAGTCAAAGTCTCTTGGTTGCCCAGAGATCGAGATCTCGGCGGAACAGACAAACAGACACACAACGGAAAATCGAGCACATAAGCGTTACCTCAACTTCATTGTGTTACGCTAAAAAATATCTTAAACCTATTTCGGGTGGAGATCGTCGTTTTTTATTACGTTGGATGTATGATTGAAAAAGTGTAGTGTGTGTTTGGCCGTTTGTAAACGTCGTTTGCCACCTTAGACGTAGAGAGGGGAGTCTAAGGGAGGGCCCGAGCTATGCCGAACTCGCCTTCGGCTCGCTCGGCATTGGTGTGCGTAAAAGTGTAAATGCGTGTTTGGCCGTTGGTAAACGTCGTTTCCCACCGTGGACGTAGAGAGGGGAGTTTAAGGGAGAGCCCGAGCTGTGCCGAACTCGCCTTCGGCTCGCTCGGCATTGGTGTACAAAAAAAGTGTAGTGTGTATTTGGCCGTTGGTAAACGTCGTTTGGCACCGTGATTGTAGAGAGGCGAATCTAAGGGAGGATCCGAGCTATGTCGAACACGCCTTCGGCTCGCTCGGCATTGGTGTGCAAAAAAAGTGTAGTGTGTATTTGGCCGTTGGTAAACGTCGTTTGGCACCGTGATTGTAGAGAGGCGAATCTAAGGGAGGATCCGAGCTATGTCGAACACGCCTTCGGCTCGCTCGGCATTGGTGTGCAAAAAAGGGATGTTTTGTTTTAGGTATACTTTATGCATATATGAAGCGCAACTCTACGTATTACCGAAAGAATTGGCGTTAAACCACGACAATATACTTAGGTCGTATGTTGCTATATACTTGGCGGTAAAAAGCATCCTCGAGAATTTTTACCAACCGCCAAGCTCAAGTTAATGCTTTAAAAAGACAATTTCGACAACTACTGGCGTTACATTTTTCATATTTGTATTAATTTTTGTCAAAATAAAGTCCCGGCCTATGACACCCCTTTGTTTATCTTGAAATGGACTCGTCCATCAGTTTGACGTTTAGTTTTTTAAAATGGCGGGCAATTCTTATTTTAAGGAAATTAAGGATAATAAGCCTTTTCGTGGCAACAAAAGCCTTCCAACACATGTGGATGGAAATTTTAGAAAATTTTAAGACCCCCCACGAACGTGTCCGCGCCCTATTTAACTCAAAATCGACAAAAAAAGTCATCTGTGCATGATTTAAGGGTTTTTTTGCAAATTTAAGGGTGAAGGAGAAAATTTTGACAGTATGAATATCAACTCAACTTTTCACAGACTACTTGATTCCGTCGAGAAACTTGAGCAACCTCAAAAAAGGCCGTGACCTTCAGTTGCGTCAGTACCATTACATTTATATTGAATAGCGTATTCTAAGTTTAAATTATTTTACAGTTTAAACAATGAAATCCAATATACAAAGATGTAACCACTGAATCGTGTTTCAGAAAATTCAGAGAATCTAACGGTTACGTGATGTTATCAAGCCCCCCAGGTACGATCATGAAATTGATAAAAATGGGTTAGAGAGCACCTTAATTAAGCGTTTTCAACAACAAAAATTTGCGGGAGAAGCCCCAAATTTTTCACAATATTAATACAAAGGTAAGGGTGTGCGTAACATTCCAACTTCAATTATTTTTCCACGATAGTACTGTACAATTATTACCCAAATTTGTTTTTTTGCGGCTCCTAAAAATTTGCCGCAATGGGCCCGGGCCCACGTGGCCCCATGGTAAATCCGGCCCTGGCACGTAAACTGAAAAACAGAGGAATCTGGGAAAATGTGGAAGAATTTGAAGTAGCTAACGAATTGGAAAAACGGGAATATTCGAAATGGGTGGCGTACGAGTTACGACAATAATTAATACAAAAATCAGCGATCGTGTCCTTCTGGTTCAGGTTTAAATTTATTCATATAAGATTGTTGAGCAATGTACCTAAAGCTAAATTCGCTCAAAGGATTAGAAAATCTCATTGATTAATAGGAAACTTCGTTTCGCGTTTAATGCAAAAACAATTAAGAGTCCTGTTCGGTTGCAAGTTCCAAATTAGTGAAAGAAAAATTGCCATCTACAAGGAGATATGTATAAATTCTCTTGTAGCTTCTTTTCACTTTTTCCAGTTGGAAAATTTGCAAGCCAAAACTGTACCTATGCGGGGGACTCTCAATAAGAGAATGCTCATGCAAATAGTGTTGCAGATTTAACTGAAGTTTACCCAAAGAAGCTTGTGCCATAAAAGTCAGTACCTGCATTATTTTCTTAAATTCGGAAAAAAAACGTCCCCAATTTCTCGTGTATAAATTTAGTCGAGAAAATGATATAAACAGCAAAAACAGTTCTAATGAAGCTCGTTTGTCTAACATCAAACTTACCCATCTGTTTAACATAAACATGAAATTTACCCCCAGAATAAAAATTAGAGACGAACTAAATAATTTTTCAACAATCAACAATCGAATCCGCCATTCACTTTTGACACGAGCATTGACTTGCAAAATCTAGCCCTCTGG